CTTAACTTCTCGAATTTCTGTTAGACTCCACTTGCAAGTTTCCTTTCTTCTCTTATTCTTCATCCAAATGGGAAGCCAAAAGACAGCAACCAAAACCGGCGCACGAATATTCGTGGTTAATGATTGTTCAAACTGAAACTGAGAAAATTGAGTAACGATTACGCTGATTGTCGGAAACGTGTTTTTTCAACGAAGTAACTAAAGAACAATGCAAATTATGGCACACATGGTCAACCGAGTCCAGGTTGTGTAGTAATCCATAGCTGAGGAGACTCCACACAAGGCCAACATTAATCTCAAAATTATGGAACAAAATCCCAAGATCACTTGACTGGGATTAACGTTTCCTGTACCATTCATCACACTAATCGAAAATATGAAATTGATCCCTTACCCACAGAGCAGAATCACGTAGATCGTAAAAATAAGGGGGAAATTCGAATAGGAGGTGAAGTAAATGTTCTGCGGATGGACGAAACGCAGACACTGCTTTGACGGAATTAGAATCACAATTCAGTATATAATCCAGACCGCGATGCAAACACCTAGAAAAAAAATGAAAGGGATTAAAGAAAATGGTGCAATACCTAAACACGCTGTTCATCGCATGAAAGGAAACAAGGTCGGTCCTGCAGATAAATCACCGGTACAGACATTCGCTGGCTGAGAGTTCCATGCAATAAACTGTGAATTACACTGCACATAGAAACAGCCCTGGTGTTTACTAAGGGAAAATCAATCAGGTAGTAGGATGGCTTCGTCTAAGAATTGCTGTAACAGTCAATTATAGTGAGTAGCAGGCACAATAGCCAGTTGTGACAACTTCCTTTGCGAGGCAAGTATTATTAATGATATTTGACATCACTGCAACTAGCTATGACACAGGTATACCGGAGAGCCAAAAACCACAAGCTCGTTTGCAACACTATCACCACAATGCTGCGGATTGATCCAATACCGCAATACCGGTCGATTATGGTGAGGCAATTAGAATTAATCAGTGGGGTTCGTTTCCCTGTGTCTCGCAGTACGATGATGATGATGATGGAGAGAACTCAATCATTAGACAGGGAGATTTTTTTAATAAAGAAAGAGGTGCGTGATTAGAGTGCTTTCTTTTGACAAAGTCATTTGAAATATCGGAAATATCCTCTCCGTTTGAGTTTGCATTCTGCCCATGAAGTCCCGGGTTCGATCCCCAGTGGGGTCGATGGATTCGCACTGCTGATGAGACCCAAACAAGGTCGAAACAGCTGTCCAGTGCTTCCTAGCTTTTCAGTTCACGTTTCGTTTGCCATATATACGACGAATAACCTTTGAAATCAATCTGTTTTTCGTCATTTTTGTAGATGTTATACAAATCTCCGTTCCCCCTTTCATTTTTTTGCTGTCTCAATGGCATCTTACTCTATTTTCACTCCGGTTTATACATACATGCATATATATTGTGTGCGTGTGTGCAAATAATCACTGGCATTCGATCAGGAAGAGCAACATAACCTTAGCAAACAAGGTCTCTTGGTAGGTGCACAACTTACTGATCACAACCCTATCACTCAGTTTGGAAGAACAACAATTAACGTGAATCGCATACATGAAAAGCAAAAGACGTGCGAGATGCGGTAAAACCTTTTCCACACCCTGAACTGATATGTATCGGGTGCATATTGGTTTAAAAATAAAAACGAAAGGATCCATTGGCGAAGGGGTTGAATCATCAACACAAACAACACATTGGACTGACTCACCGAGGCACAAGATCACGGTGCAATTGGAATGTACGATAAGCATGGGAGACACGATATGCATGAGTCCAGCGATCCGCCTCGGTGTAGTTGATTACCGAATGCGTGAACAATTCAACCACCAGACAAGCGATGGACTCTACATCGTGCGCAAACAACTCGCTCAAGTGAACACAGTCCGGAGTCAAGACAGGCTATACGAGTGGGAGGTTTCAGAGGAAGCGCAGGGGGAATGGTGCATAAAAAACCGCTCATAGTTCACAATGATCACGAGACGGTTAAATAAGAGAATCATATTAGGANTAGGAATCTATTTTTCACGACGAGGAACAAGCAGTGTGAACCTGCGAACCCATAAAAGGTTCTCTTCGCAACGACACAAAGACTAACTGTTTCCTACATACAGATAATTAACTTTTAATGAGTCTACCTCGCCTTGTGACCATCTACACTTAGGTTCGTTCCCTGGATATGTATAAATGCTTATCATATCCTTCAGCACAAACAAAATGAAACATTGAAACTAAACAGAGTATCAAATTGATACACAACTCAGAAAATCATTTGAAGCAGCCACCCATGATACGACGAAAANGACGAAAAGTTTCAATTTCAGTTTGAACAATCATTAACCATTCACTTTTGTGCGCCGGTATTGGTTATTCTTATATATTTCATACCGACTTCAGAACAAGCTGGGTGCCAACGCCATAACTATATTAACAATAACAATAACGAGGTGGGGGTGGGTGGGGTACAGAGTATGGGGAAAAGATGTAGCTGTCAGAATGGGAGATTACGAAAAAGTGGAATAACAACCTTTTTTTGGGGGGGGGAGGTGTTTCACCGTACAATTTTTGAAATTTTTTTGTTGTTTGTGGTTTTTACGGGACACGGGATTTCGATAGGCGGACCGTTCAGCATTCGCGCAACTGACTTCTATTCCGGGCCATATCTCTCAGCGTCCCTAACCAGCGATAACCCTCATCCCTTTGGCTCCAAACTGGAAGGCGAGCTGCACCAACCGGAGCCAAAGCTAAAGCCAGCTTCTTCATGCCTCTAGCCCATGTCATGGTCTGACCACCACGTCGCTTCCTCCAGCCTTGCCCGACACGTGCAAAGAGAGCACGGAAAGGTAATCGACGGGCAGGCATATGTAATATGTGACCAAGCCATCGGAGGCAGTGTAGAGCGATTACTTCTGTTAGAGAACGACTATCCGCACCCAACACATGACGACGGACCTCGTCATTGCTCACCCGGTGTTCCCACCAGACACGAGTAATGTTTCGCAGACATCGGTGGTCAAATACAGAAAGTCGATCAGCATTCTAAGCTCAGAGAGGCCAGGTTTCGCAACCATAAAGCAGAACACTACGAACTGCGGCGATGCACACCCTTCCCTTAAGGGATAGTCGGATGTCATGGCNGGCGCCACAGGTGTCGTCGGTTGGCGAAAGCTACTCTAGATTTCGCTATTCGTGATGTGATCTCGTCCCCTACACCACCATCAGCTACGATCAAGCTCCCAGGTACTTAAAGTTCGCAACTACTTCTATCTGATCACCACAGAGGATGAGGGCAGGCACAGGCTACTGCCAGTCTTGAGCAAGCACTTTGCGCTTAGAAGGTGCAAAGCACATAC